GGCCCGGCCAGCGCGGCGCCCCGCTCAGCCGCCTGCCCTGCCCGCAGGGCGACTCCGGCGGCCCGCTGGTCTGCCAGAAGGACGGCGCCTGGACCCTGGTGGGCATCGTGTCGTGGGGCAGCAGCAACTGCTCGCCCTCCGTGCCCGCCGTCTACGCCCGCGTCACCGAGCTGCGCTCCTGGATCGACTCCATCCTGGCGGCCAACTGAGGCCGGCCATGAACAATAAACGCTCTTGCCCACCCGGGGCCTCCGCTTCCTTGTGCAGGGGAYGGGGACAGGGCGGGCWGGCGGAGCTGGAGCCACCTTAAGGCGCTGGGGCCTGCAGGGCCGCGCGTCGCCGCTGGGGTGGACGGTGCTGCCATGGCGCTGCTGCGGCGGCTGCTGGGGCTGGCGGGGCCCGCGGGGCGCCGCGGCTGCTGCTCTAAGGTGGGCCCCGTGTGGTGGCYGGGGCATGTCGGGCCGGGGGAGCGGGGTTGCGGCCGTGCCGGGGGCTGCCTTGGCGCTCGCCTGATGGGCCGCGCTGCCCGCAGCGCCCGCTGCCCCCCGCGCTGCTGGAGGCTCTGCAGGCCGTGGCTGGGGTGCCCAATGTGTCGTGCAGCGGTGCCGTGCGGGAGCAGCACGGCTGCGACGAGTCCATGCACAGGTTGGTGCCGGGGCTGCGCGAGGCCAAGGGGCCCCCCAACATGTGTCCCCCGCACAGCCTGTCCCCCCTGTGCAAGCCTCCTTGCATGGCCTGTCCTGCCATGCCCGCTGCAGGGGCTCCTTGCACAACCATGTCCCGTCCCATGTCCCCCACTGAGGGCTCTTTGCTCAGCCCAAACCCACCCTGTCCCAGCTCTACCCCAGGCAGCCCCTACCCCCAGCTTGAGCCCCCTACGCCAGCCAAGGCTCCCTGCACGTCAACTCCCTCAGGGGCTCTGGGTCCTCCCAGCTCCACGGGCTGTACCCTATGTGCAAAGGGCAGTTCCAGCCCCAGCCCATCTTGGACTCCCCGGTGTGGGCAGTGCTGGGCATTGGCTCAGAGTGTTCYAGGTCTGGCTCCCCCAGCATCCCTGCTAGGTGCTGGTGGGGGCRGCTCTGACTGCTGTGTTGCTGCAGATGTGCCCCTCCAGATGTGGTGGTGTGGCCCCAGGATGTGCATCAGGTGCAGGAGCTGGCGGCGCTCTGCTACCGCCACGACGTGCCCATGGTGCCCTTTGGCACCGGGACCGGCCTCGAGGGCGGCGTCAGCGCTGTGCAGGTGCGGAGGTAGGGCGACMTGCGCGCCATGGGGCGGCCGTGCCCGGGCCCTGCTGAGGCAGCCAGCCGCTCCAGGGCGGCGTGTGCTTTGACCTGAGCCGCATGGACCGCATCTCGGAGCTGCGYGTCGAGGACTTCACAGTGGCCGTGGAGCCTGGTGTGACGCGCAAGGCCCTCAACAGCTACCTGCACTCCAGCGGGCTCTGGTTCCCCATTGGTACCGTGTGGGCCGGGTGATGTTCGTGACACAGCTGGGGGGTCYGGAGCACGGGGGGAACTGGGGGCGTCAGGGGGTTGCTGGGCACGGCTGCCTGGGTGTTATCTCCGCAGACCCGGGGGCAGACGCCTCGCTGTGCGGCATGGCGGCCACGAGAGCCTCGGGCACCAACGCCGTGCGCTACGGCACCATGAAAAGCAACGTGCTCAACCTGCGCGTGGTGCTGCCGGACGGGCGCCTGCTCCACACGGCTGGGGAAGGCCGCCACTTCAGGTAGCCACGGGCTCGGAGCTGGCGCCGGTGCCAGGACCGGGGCGGCCGCCCTCACCTGGTGCCCATGGCAGGAAAAGCGCGGCCGGCTACGACCTGACGTCGCTCTTCGTGGGCTCCGAGGGCACCCTGGGCTTCCTGACACGGGCCACGCTGCGCCTGCACCCTGTCCCCGAGGCCATGGTGGCGGCCGTCAGCGCCTTCCCCAGTGTCCGGGCGGCYGTGGACTGCACCGTCAGCATCCTGCAGACTGCCGTGCCGGTAGCCCGCATCGGTGCGTGGCCAGGAGGGCTGCAGAGAGGGTGGCACCGTCCTCCGAAGCTCACGGCGCCTCCTTTGCCCAGAGTTCCTGGACGACGTCATGGTGGACGCCTGCAACCGCCACAGCGGCCTGAAGCTGCCTGTGGCACCCACGCTCTTCATGGAGCTCCACGGCTCCCAGCACAGCGTGGCCGAACAGGTCCAGCAAACAGGTAGCGCTGGGGTCATGGCGGGGCCGGGCAGCGGGGCGGCCCAGCGCCCGCACAGGCCCCACAGGCTCCCACGTCGCCGCCGCAGAGGAGCTGGTGCAGCAGCACGGCGGCTCCAGGTTCGCCTGGGCCCAGGAGGTCGAGGAGCGCCAGCGCCTCTGGGCCGCCCGCCACGACGCCTGGTACGCGGCCCTGGCCCTGCGGCCTGGCTGCAAGGTGAGGGGGGGACCCTGGCACCGCCGCCGCTGTGGGCCCCGTGCCCAGCGCCGCTGGGGCGGGCGCCCGGCTGCGGCAAGAGCAGTGCCCCTCGCCAGGGCTACTCCACGGACGTCTGCGTGCCCATCTCCCGCCTCCCCGACATCGTGGTGGAGGCCAAGAGGGACCTGCAGGAGGCTGGCCTCACCGGTAAGCCACGGGCACCCGTCTTTACCGGCACTCTTGTGCCCCGGCCCAGGGATCGTGCCRAGCCCTGAATGCCTCCGTGTCCCCACAGGGCCCTTGGTGGGACATGTGGGTGACGGAAACTTCCACTGCCTCCTCATCTTCGACCCCGAGGACCTGGACGAGACCCAGCGCATCAAGGACTTCACCCAGCGCCTGGGCAGGTGGGCGCAGGSGGCATTGGGGCTGCACCGGGGCCACCCGCAGCCCCTCGTGACGCCGCCATCCCACAGGCGAGCGCTGGCCTTGGATGGCACCTGCACCGGGGAGCACGGCATAGGACTGGGCAAGCGGGAGCTGTTGCGTGAGGAGGTGGGTGAGCAGGGCCTGGCCACCATGCGCCAAATCAAGGCCACTCTAGACCCCAAGAACCTCATGAACCCCGGGAAGGTGCTGTGACCGTGGCCGAGCACCCACCCACCCCACGGAATGGGCCCTGTCCGGCTCCCAGGGCACCCTGGCCCCCGTGGGCCCCATGCCCGTGGTCTGGTGGGTCACAGCCCTCGGAAAGCTCCAATAAACCAAACGTGCCTGATGTCCATGTCGTCTGTCATGGCCTTTGGGCTCCGGATCGCCGTCCCCACGGCTGCCGCGTGCGCAGCTGCCCCCGCCATGCCCACCGTGCCAGGCACGATGCTCGCTGTGCCCGCCGTGCCCGCCGTGCCAGGCGCTGCCAAGCCCTGAACCCGGCAGGCAGCGCGCGCTGCGCCAAGAAAGCCAGGGAAATAAAATAACAGTGAATATTTTATTGAACATTGTTTTAATACCATATCAAAACACCTTGACTAATGAAGGAAGCTTCCCCCCAAGCTCTGAACTCTTTTTTTTTTTTTTTTCGTCATTTTGTTGTTGTTTTCCCGGGAGTTTTTTTCATATATAAATACAGAAACGTTTCCCGCAGGGGCATGGCCACCAGCAGGAGAGGTCTCACCAATGCAAAGGAGCCCGCCGCGCTGGGAGGGGACGGGGACAGGGACGGGGACAGGGACGGGGAGGGGGACACTGCAATAAAACGACTCAGCCTCAGCATTCCCTGCAGTGGGGAAACGCATCAAAGCAGCTCTTGGGGGCTGGGGGGGGAGGCCGCTGGTGCCCGGACGGGACCCTGGCAAGCAGGGGCTGGCGGGAGGCCTTCTCCCAGCGCCTCCCTCCAAGCTTCCTCAGCTCCAAAGGCGACGGAAAGGGGAAGGGGGGAGAAGGGGCATTTTTGGCAACAAGGAGTGCGACGGCGACGGGACGGGGGCTGCGGCTGTTCAGTCTCTGAGTGGTTATAGCTGAGTTAAAGAGTGACCAGTCTGTAAACATCACCGGGGCAGGGAAGCTCAAATCGAAGAACACGCCAGTCAACACGAAGCTTTTTTTTTTTTCTTCTTTTTTTTTGTTGATTTTCTCTTTTTTTTTTTTGTTGTTGTTGTAAACACTTGAAAGACAGACCCCCCCCAGGGCCCAACTCTCAGCTCCTCTGCAGGGGAAGAGCAGTGGCCCCGCTCCCGGCGTGGGGCAGAGTCCCTGTCTCACACTGCCAGGTCCGAGTCGGAGATCTCCAAAAGGGAGACGGGACAGAGGAGAAAAGTCCCCGTTTAAGTCAGTGCAAAAAAAAACCAAGCAGAGCCCCCGGGGTGCCAGGCGAGTCCAGGCGGGAGATGAGGGTGCCAGCGAGGAATACCGCGTGCTCCGTTTGGCCGGCTGTCCCCTGGCAACTTTTCCGTTCGCTTCGGGAAGAAGAGCCAAACATCATGGCAGGGTTTGGGCCGAGGGCGGCAAGGGCGGCCCCACAGCCTCCCTGGTGGGCAGGTGTCTCCCCGTGCCGGCAGGCGCAGACGGGAGAGCAGGTTGCTCAGCTTTTCTGACACTGTCTCTCCTGGATGTTATATATATATATATTTTTAATCCTTTAAATTAAAAAAGAAAAATAAAAAGAATAAAATAAAATAAAAAAATCGCTGTTGTCCCAAGTGGATTCAAGTTTCTGTTTTTTTYGTTTTTCTTCTTCTTCTTCTTCTTGAGGAATTTGAAGTCAACCCAAAACTCCAGAYGGGGCGGGTGGGACAGGGAGAGGAGGTACAGCAGGTATAGCAAGGTGCCCTGTGGGGACAGAGACGAGCCTGGGTGAGCGTCAGCGCAGCGTGGCCCATGCCGCGGGCACAGGAGCAGTGTCCACCCCGTTGTCCAGCACTTAGCCTGTAGCCGAGACCCGTTCGTTCCCCTCCAATGGCCGACCCACTCAGAGCAGGTTTGGAAAAGGAGCTGTGCTCGTGTGTGCTCCTGCCCGCCCTGGCAGGGCACAGGTCCTTCCCCGTGGCCTCTCGTGGGTGAGCACTGCTACGAGCACCCCCCGAAGGACCAGAGGGAATGCTAGAGAGAGCCCTGCGGATGAGCATGGCCCAACGCTGGGGTTCACCGCGAAACGGGCTGCTCTGTGCCCCGCCGGCCCCGGGCTCACCTTAGAGAGAAGTCAGCAAGCACGCCCAGGGGGTCAATCAGAAGGATGCTCTGGGCAAGATCTGTTCACTTCAAACCATGAATCTATACAGCTGGAGAGAGGAGAGAGCATCACACACCGTGCSCCCTGGAACCAGACCTCGGCCTGTCCCCCTCACAGCCCCTCCATTCTGCTGGACGCCCCGCGAATGCCGGGGAGAGACAGGCAAYGGCAAGTGTCACCTGCCCCGTCGCTGTCCCCCTCCACGCGGCGCGGGCCCCGCTCTGTCACCCCGGTGCCCGCCAGCACCGCGCGGTACCTTTTGTGGTAAATGCAGAGGCAGGGCAGCCTGGCTATCGTATCCCCCTGCAGCAGCTCCTCCAAGCAGATCACGCACTCGCCGGCGTCCTTGGTCAGCACGTCATCTGYAGAAGGGAACGGTGAGACGCGTGGTGCCACGGCAGCCCGCGGGCACAGGAGGGGTCCCGGGTGGTGGGGAGAGGACAGGAGGGTCACCCCAGCCCCCCGGAGCAACAGAGCTGGAAGCAGACCTGCCGCCCCCGTGCTCAGCCCCCCGGAGCGTGCTGCCACCAGGATGGGTGTGAGTTATCCCCTGGAGGAAGGCAGGCGACCCGCTGGAGCACCTGCCTTGGAGGACACGTGTCCGCTGCGCTCACGAGGCAGGATGTGGGTGAGGAGAGCTCCCCCAGCACAGCAAGCAGGGTGAGCAACACAGGCAGAGGGCAATGCGCAAGTAAGGGGGCTAGGGGCGCCCGGGGCGGCGCAGGGCCCAGCGAGCCAGGCCGCCCAGCTGAGCTCAGCCCTCTTGGCACGGCCAAGGGAGCGCCGCGGTGCCGCCTGCCCGAGCTGCCCGCAGCGTGCGGCTCTGCCCAGCCTGCCCGCAGCCATCCCCACAGCGCAGGACCCGGCGCCCGCCGCGCGCGGCCACTTACCGTTGTAGGAGAGGCGAGGTTTACTCAGACACATGATAAAGTGCATTTCCATCTCGTCAGAAGCCACGGATTTAGAGCAAATGGGGCACTTGAAACCTGGCGGGAGAGCGGAGAGGAGAGAGCGGTGGTGAGCGCGGGGAGGCGAGGGGCCCGGCGGCGGCGCCCGGCGCGCGGGC